AATTCAAAGTTTATAACAGATTATAAAAAATATTTAATCGCGTTGTGATTGGACAATAACAAATTATATATATCAATATCATAAAATAATATTTAATCAATTTATATACTCACATTTTTTTATACAAAGATAATAATCTACATCATTAGTTCAATCACATAATTACAAGAGAATGTTTACTTTAATTTAAAATGCAATTAAAACTACTATAAAATGTTACTTTTAACAAATGACGTACACAATTAATTTTTCTACAAAAAATCTATGCAACTAAATTTTAAAGGAGTAAAGAAATTATTATGTTACAAGACATACATGCAAATTCCATCATAATATTCAAATAAACGGCAAGCATATGGGATTTTTAAAACTGGGTGCAAGACATAGAATATTCTAATTGAGTGCAGAATTAGAAATTTGGGTGCAAATACGTGTAATATTTAAAAAATCACAATGTGAAATTGGGTAAAAACTTTGGTGTAGAAAGTTTCAAACGCTATTTTTTCTATAAAAAAAATAGTAATTATATAAAAGCGTTAGGGCTGATAACGTGTTATAAAATTAAAGGAAGAAAGAGAAATATAGAGAATTAATAGAGAGAAAAGTCAAAAGTCAAAATTCAAGTATATCTTTTATTAAGAATCAAAACCTATATTTATAGGGTTCAAAATGAGAATTACAATTGGAATAAAATAGATTGTGTAACTAAATAACACTTATCTATGCATGTTAATAATACTACATAGTCATCAATATTTATCTTATAATTTTACAACATTTAATAAATTTTTGAAGGTGCTGTGTATTATAGAAATAGATGGATATTGAATTTAAAATCCAAACAAATTCTCTTGTATAATAATCTTGTTTGGTGTTCTTTCCCATTCATTTATTTTTAAAGAAAGCGTAAATCATCCACATTCAATTTCAACACTTTGTCTAGAATATTTTTGCGAGAGTGTTTTCTTGATTTGCGTATTCGCAAGATTTATAGGCTTTGTCAAAAGAATAATGCTACTTGCAGTCACTCACTGCAGCAGTCGTCCTATGCGACACACACATGTCAAGTGTGTATTTGATGCATTAAATGTGATTAAAAAAACTACCACATTAATGTATCAAATAACTACATGCCATGTGTGCGCCACATAGGGCGCCTGCTATAGTGAGCGACTGCAAGTAGCATTACTCTTGTCAAAAATATCTAAAATGTCTAAGGAGAGCCTAGTGATCCGTTCTGCACCTTGAAAACCTTTTAGTTGTGCATTATTCAAATCAACAAGGTGAAAGACAGCGAAGGCCAAAAAAAAAAAGGAACTAATGCAAAAAGGTGTGGCCATGGTGGAGACAACAAAGAATTTGAGATTCTTCACATCAAGCAAGGAGAATCTATCAAGGAGTATTTTTCAAGAACACTAGCAAATTGTTAACAAAATGTGCATTTAAGGTGAAAAAATTGAAGAGATGGCCATGGTGGAGAAAAATCCTTAGATCAATGGCTCCAAAATTTTTGTATGTCCTACGTTCTATTGAGGAGTCAGAAGGCCTAGATGAGTTTTCAACTGATAAATTACAGAGTTCATTACTAGTGCACGAGCACAGAATGACAAACAATTCAGTAGAGGAACAAGATTTGAAAGTCTCAACTCATAATGAAATCTCTACAAGGAAAGGCTCGAGTAGAGGTCATGGTCAAGACAGAGGAAGAGGTAGTTTCAAGCCTAATTCTCGAGGTAGAGGCAAATGACATGATCATCAACCCCAGTATGATCATGGGTCAACATTTGACAAGTCCAACATTCAATGCTACCGCTATCACAAGTATAGCCATTCAATAACAATGCCCATTTGATGATTCTGATATTAGATATATGGAGAAAGTACCCTATGCTAATATTACGGGTACAATCACGTGTCTTATGGTATGTATAAGATCCGATGATACTCATGCTATTAGCATTTTAAGTAGATTCATGACTAATCTTACACCAGAACGCTAGAGGCTCTTAAGTAGCTTCTCTGATATCGAAGGAACCTCACATTTAGGATTAGTGTTTAAAACTTTCAATGAGGGAATGATAAGAGTCTACCATAGACTATATGTTTCCTTTATGCGGTATTTGTACTGTCTACTATAGAGGCTGAATATGTTGTAACTACAAAGGCCGTATAGGAAGCCTTATGTCTTAAGGGTTATTAATTGAAATAAATATGATTTTCGAACCTACCATTGTCTATTCTGATAAACAAAGTGCTACACATTTGTGTAATAATCTCATTTTTCATGAAAGAACAAAATATATGGATATTAAATTATACTTTACAAGATATATTATTTCAGATGAAACTATTTTTCTTGGGAAAATTCCTACACAATTTAATCCATCACACATTGGAACTAAGGTACTACCTCTATCCAATTTTAAGTCATGCAAGTCTCTATTAAACATTGATACAAGTTATTGTTCATTTTGTAGGTACTGTTTGTTGCCAGTTGTACGACACTTGGAGTTAGTGATACAAGTCCATCGGCATCTATACAAAGATTTTTTGGGCTATGATGCCTGATATATGATTGTAGGTTACGATGATAATGGGCTATGGCCGAACTATATATTCTTGCAAGGGAAAAATTTATAAATAAGGTGTTTAGTTTATACCAATTCAAAAATCATGTTTATAGTTTGAAAATTCAAAAATCAGGTTTTTTTTTTTAATTCTAATATAATATAATATTATAAACCCACCCCACATGCACCACCCCTACCGCTCCATAGACTATTCCAGCGACCATTCCGACCACAACTCTTCTCCGGCAACCATTCCGGCGACTGCTCCGATTCCGGCGACTATTCCGACGACCATTCTGGTTACAAATTTATAATTGAATTAGTTACATATTATTTTTTAGTCACAAATACTAATTTTTATATGTCATAGATTATTTAATGGTCACAGTTCAAAAATTTTATAGGTCACATTTAATTCGTTGATCACAAATTTCAAAATTAGTTAATTACATATCAAAATTTATAGGTTACACGATCACAAATTTCCAAATTAGTTGGTCACAGATTTTTTACGATTATAGATTTCAAAAATTTAAGATCACGATTCAAAAATTTTATAGGTCACAGTTCGTTCATCGGTCACAAATCACAAAATTTATAAGTCACACAACTTATTTTATGGTCATAAAACATAAATTATAGGTCACAAATTACTTTTATTGATCACAAATTTATAAATTTGTAGGTCACACAATATTTATTGATCACAATTTATTCTTTATTGGTTACACACCAACCAATTTATTGGTCACAATCAACAAACCATCTGTGACCACCACCAACACAACACCACCGTCGTCTCCACCGCCAACACCATAGAAACACACCACCGCCACCACATAAACCACCGCCGCCGCCCACCTAATGAAAACGACTTCACCACCACCACCAGACCTCGACACCACCAACACCATCCCCCAACAACCACCACCACCACCCAATGAAAATGACCACAACCACCGCCGCCTGCACCAACCACCGCCCACCACCAAGCAGATCTTACCAGCAAGCAGACCATGGTATATCACTACCACACAACCAACAAATCCACCATTGCCATGGCACCACACACAACACCGCCATCGAAAAACACCATTGCACCTACACCTCCACTGCACCATACCTCTACCGCGCACAACAACTCACACCACCACCTCCACCCTTCACCACTCACAGCGCCACAGAATGGATGAACTCTCAGTAGTGAAGCCCTCGATTGCTGACGACGTTGCTGAGAACTCTCAGCAGCACTCAATCGTTGCAAAGTGAAGAGCGGAGACGATGAGGCACAGAGAAGACGTCGGTGAAGAGCGGAGGCGATCTCCACCAGTGAAGCCCTCTTGTCGGCGGCAATCTCCGAGTGTTATTTGTCAAGCCCAGTGAAGCCCTTTCCTTGGCGGCGATCTCCACCAGTGAAGCCCTCTCCACCGCCGGTTGTTATTTGTGATAGAGAGAAGGGAAAGAACAGAGAGAATGGAGAAGAGAGAGAGAGAGAAAATAAGGTCAAATGATTAGGGTTTGGAATAATTGGGTAGAGATATTTAATATTTAATTATTATATTGATACCTGATTTACGAATAATGAAATTTTAGACCTGATTTTTGAATTGTGATCTTTAAACATCTGGTATTATGTAATTTCCTTTTCTTGCAATTGCCCAATAACTCGGCTTGGCCCAAACCCGGATCCATTGCATGAAAGTTGCATTTTGAAGTTATGCACCATTAGGGTTGCAACTCAACGCTTTTACCTTTGATTAACTGTGAAGCCACTGGACTATTGGATCAATATTAGATCAATGGTTGGTAATACGAGTATAAATATATCCATTGGTTGCCCTATTAGGTAATAATCTGAGTTTCTACTGTTTGGGTTGGTTTACATAATCTTCTTCTCTTTTCTCTTTGCATTCTTCTTTCAAACCCTCTGGTTGTAAGTTGATTTCTTCTAGTTTTCTTTGGGAAATCTAAACACTGAGTGTGTTTGTGTAGAGAGAAACAGTGTAATTACTTGTAGCTTCCTTTAATCTATAACGGGATGCTTTAAGATCCGGGTTAGGGTTTTTATGGCCAACCAGACTGGTACAATTTGAATTTGAGCCCTTCGTTTTTCGATTTCCTTGGTGTTATCCTAGGTGTTATCAGAGTTTTATCACCCAAAAAAAAAAAAAAAAATTAAAATCGTCTTAATAAAAATTTATCAATTAACTTTTAACTAGGCATCTACCTCAAAATTTACGACAACAATAAAAGTAGAAGCCAAAACCATGAAAATTTCTTTTCGATATCTATTTGAACTGTTATTCAATTATAAATAGTTAAACAGAGCAAATAACTAAAAGACAATTGATCCCGCAACTGATCTAAAGGAGCAAGTACTCTCACGCTCACCGTCATCTCCACCACCAACACCATAGAAACACACCACCGCTACCACATAAACCACCGCCGCCGCCGCCACAAACACCCCAGCAACCACCACCGTCGCCCACCCAATGAAAACGACCTCACCACCACCACCACCAGAAAAATCTCAAATCCCATGTATTCATGCCTCCCAATTTTTCCAATCATATTTGAAATGCCAACACCACCTGTTTCACAAAAAATATGGATATATATGATTATACAAGTACGTACGCATGTACTAAAAGCTATTTAATGGATCGAGTAAACAGTTGCAAGTGGACGAATTTATTTTTACTTCAAGTAAAAAGAATTGAAAAAAGAACTCCAAAGAAATTCATGATTTTAACCGATATAAAAATATGAATGAAGCTGCTCACCTAGAGAGATGGCACTCACAAGGATTATAAATGCCAAAACAAAGACGATTATGGATGCCCGTCCCAGTATAACAATCACCTTATTCACGACATGTTGGCCAATAATTGCAGCAATAGTGGCAACAACAATTAGGCAAAGAGCTGAACACAGAAATGTAAAAATCATTGATTGAATCAAAATTAAACAAATGTGATGTAAGAACCAATACAAGTTCACTTATTGTCAAGATTGAACAATCAGTGCATATTTTGTACATAGTACTAAATAAGAATTCAAATTTCTATCGAGTACGTGCAATTTGCAAGACTTGCACTCTTAGTTGGACATGCACTTACCATATGGAACTGGAAAACGTTTTAGAAGGTAATATTCAACCACAGACATTGATGAGGAAAACATCATAGCAAAGGTGGATGTCGCACTTGCAACCTGAACGGAGGTATAGACATCAGCTGTCTTCTCAACCTCTCACATTTAACAGACAAGAAAATGACAAATGTTCTTATATTTAATAATGATGGAAAGGAAAAAAATTCCAAAATCATTGTATGATTGTTTAAACAACAGGTTAACAGAAACCTATATGCATGTCCATATACCTAAAAATTGATTACCAAACTCACTAAGCGTTATTCTAAATGAATTTGGGGTCAGCTAAACTTTTTCTAGAAAAAGGAGTCGGCAACATTATTGTAGAAAGATCGCAAAATCACCTGAGGTGGAATGCCTAACTCCAAAAATAGCGGACCCATGATAGATCCACCTCCCACACCTAGTAAACCCCCAACAGCACCTGCCAGTACGCCTAACAAGCAATAGGTTATCAATTGGTGCACTTTCAAGTTGGAGCCTCCATCTCCCTTAGATGCAATTTTTCTCCATCCCTTATACAGGCAAATTGATTCATAACCAGATACGCCAAGAGAGGCGGGGATCTACAGAGCAGAGAATGTTTGTTTTGAATGCCTAACTAGAAATAAGCATAACAAGAGTCTTAACATATCACAGAATCAGCTACAAGTTTCCCAAATATGCAGATAACCGTGTACACACATACCTGCAGCAAGTTCACTGCCCAGTATATTGCTGAACATGTAGCTGTATAGTTCTGTTCAATTTGATGATGAGTGAGTGTGTTTCAGAGATATTCACTAGTTAAGAAACCCGATTCGGGGTTCTTGAAAGTAAAAACAATATTTGCAAGGAAAGAAAAAAAGTGAAAACCTTGATGATCTGGAGTGCAAGAAATGATATCCAAACGAAGACAAGAAGACCGAGTTCCTTCCAACGAACATTCTCGAGGACACCGACCTGCTATTGTGAGTTGTGTCATATTTGAGAGTTCAGGAAATGCATAATAGTAGTAGTATGCAAATATATCACACCTTGGATTTTGCCAAGCCTTTGGCCTCGTTTTCTGTGTCATTGCTAGGGTCTACACGACGAAGCTTATTAGCTGCTTCTGCTGTACCATTGGCTGGCGGAACAGGAAAAACATGCTTTAATTTTAGCGAGCAAATTATGGGCCAAAAGGAAAAGAAAAATAGAAGGTGATCTTTCAGTGTATGTTTGGTCCGCAGTATTATATTATTCTCGACAATATAATGAAAAAAAATGTTTCAATGAACTCACCACTTGCCTCCAATTGCTTTGCAGCCTCCTGCAGCAATACACCAAGTGGCATTTAATACAAAAGAGAAAGACGATCTATACCAAGAATGACAGGAGGAAAGTATATAAAAACACATTGCACTTGGATTTTGTCAATACTCAATTAATTTGAACCCACACCAATGAGATTCACGCTACAAAAGTGAACAACATAAGACACCAAAATGCCACCAAACTGTGTAAAAAATTTGAAACGATTACCTTTTTCACGATAGTTTCTTTTTTCCATGTTTCAACTCCTTTCAAAAAGGCCTTAGTTGATGTGGCTGCAAGTGTCATATCATATTAAAAAAGAGGGCATTGAAGCAGGATACAAAATAAACCAATTGTAATACAAACTTTAATTACCTATAAAGAGAATGATTAAAAGAACAGTTACCATCCAATCAGAAAATATTACATTCAATGCAACTCCGATGCTAACGCCTAGCATAAGCATAGGTTGGATGAGAACAGCCAAGTCATAGTCGATAATTGGCATGTCAATAGTTGGATGCCTGAGTTTAAGATTATAGCAAACAGTCGAGATTGCAGCTCCCATGATCATACCTGTCAAATTAGAAACGACATTTATGGCTCCATACAACCGAACTTAACTTATCCGAGGAATTATTCAGCTCATCTTTAGCCATTAAATTTAAAGGCCACATATAAGTTGGTGATCTTCTATGGCTGAAAGTATTTACAAATCTAGAACTTCAGGGCTGTTAAAATATTTTATATGCATAGTTTCTTCTTCCTTGAGTACAAGGAGACTAAGAACTTCAGGTTGAGGCTGTCTAAAACTATATGCATAGATTCTAGTATTTGAATTAATTCAATCAACAAAGAACTTGGAATATCCAATCGTGCTGCATTCTTCCATGGTATATCAATATGGTTTGTAACTCACATTTTGAGACAGCAGTTGCCGATTTCGGATCAAATCCAATAATCAGAGTAAGCATGGGAACAAATATTCCACCACCACCAACACCACCAACACTTCCAAAAGATGCTCCGAAAAATCCAATTATGCTACCAACAACAATGTGCCAATTGAATTTAAGATCCTGTAGACGACATACCAGATTGTCACTAGTTACAAGTGTTCCATAACTGTAGGACATCGAATCCAAAACATGAAAAACCAGTATCGACCATGTAAACCTCAACTCATTACGACCTCTTTCAAATAGAAACAATACAAATATAAAAATGTACACTGACCCAAAAAAAAAAAATGTATGATTCTCCCTGACTTAAGGAAGTTCTGTCACTTAATGTATGTGAGGCCAACTATATGAACTATCTTTTTCACACACACAGAAACACTCAAAGTTATGATAAATTCAACAAATCAACCATTTCTTTGAGGTTTTCTAAAAGTTAAGTCTTTTCTGGTCATATGGATATCTCCGTTTAGAAGTTCACATACAAGCATGCAAGAAAGGAAAATAAAATTAGATCGAACTCAATTCAAGTACATTAAAGCACAGAACAAATTGAATTTGCAAATAATCAATTATTTGACGCACCGGCCAAACGTGCTGGTACCCAGATTTGTTGGCTTGCCGTGTAAAATTCTGATAATTTGTTAAAACCTCTAAATCAGAATGTGAAAACCCATTTGCATTATGTGCTAAAAATTTCTGCTTTAAGCTGCTTCTTTCAGCAGAAACAAATATTGAAGCCAGCAGAAAGCTCCATACAACTGTTAGTATAGGTCTAAAAGCCCTCAATTTTTCTTGCTTCCCAGCCATTATTAACCAAAATTCTCACTTTTTCAGTACAAAATCTTCTCTTATTCACGTAAAATCCCAGATTTTGGTGGGTGGAAAAGGAAAAATGCAGGGACGGTTGCGAAATTTGAGGGAAACTTTTTGCTCAGAGTGGGTGCATGAGAAAACTTGCAAGAGGAAGATATGCAAAATATATGGATTGGAAAGAGTATAGTATTTGGTTGAGAGTGAGAGAGAGAGAGCCAAAGTTGAAAGGTGGCACGAATCCATAATTGGACAAACAGGTTCTTCGACCCATGATTCGACAAAATTTTTTGCTTAATCTAGGATTTTTGTCTGGGTTTTGGCTGGCCACCCACGTTTAGAAATAGAAGAAAGAAAAAATGGAATTTTTTTTTTTTTTTATAATTAGGGTAAAATATCCAGAAAATTACTACTTTCCCTGAAATCTCAACTAGGCTTGGGTGGTTTCGACTCCAACGTGAAACCAAAATAAAAATCAAAATCAAATTAGTCGATTTGAGTGAATTTCAATCCAAATCAATACACTCTAACTCTTAAATCGAACCGATTCAAACAAAATCGGTTTGATTTGGTTCAGTTCGGTTCGATTAGTCGGTATCGACTTTTAGTCCAAATTGAATTTTTCTCAGGAAAAAAGTTGTCTGGATTTTGGGCCCACTTAGATTATAAGAACTAAGGTAACTTTATATTACAAGAAACGAATAAAATCAAGTTAATAAAGACAGACCAACAGCAAACTTAAGAATTTTGATTTTTTTTTATGCATGATATAGCATGATTGTCTAAGTAGGGAAATAAATACTAAACATAACATAATAAGCTTGTGAAAAGAAATTTCCAATTTTATTATTTAGTGGCAATATCATAAATTGCAAGGAATCGATATATAGTAATGAAATTAGGGCTTATCTTTTGATTTGATTTTATTTTTTAAAAAAGGTAAACATGTAAGTGTGTTAATTCGGTTTGGTTAAATAGCGGTTTGAGGCTTCAAATTGAGATTATTTATGCTGTTATCAAATATTTTGAGGTAAAATAAATAAATGAAGTTTTACTATGTCCACAAACACACATTAATCGGAATTTCTAAATTTGAATAGATGGATAAACTCCTCTCTTTTAATATGTCGATTTCAAATTTATATTTTTCTCAATTTCAAATTTTGTCGACACTTCAAGAAACTCGTAATTTTAGTACTAATATGTTGATTTCAAGGACTTATGTTATATGAACACTCTTCACATGTTCCTACTAACTTAAAGGTCCAAACACTAATTTAAAAATAGTGAGTAGTCAATGTAACTATTCAATCTAGGACTAAAGAATAAAAAACGATTCATTAACTTCTTGGTGTTCTCCACGTCTCATTCTAACGTAGTCCATCTGATTTTAAAATCAAAATTTTAGTAGATTTTAATAAAAAAAAATATTAATTTTCTCAAATATTTTGCCCAAAATTTTAGGAAAAACTTCACATACTTCCTTCCATGTCACGAATTTAATAATTCCTTGAACACGACTAAGAAGACTTGTTCAGAAAATAAAAAATAAAAAAATTAATTATATATACACACACACACACAATTAAAATAAAATATTAGAGTATGATATATTTGTTAGTTGGATTGACTGAGGTGGATCTTTACTGATCCGCATCAATCTGGTACTTCCCATTAGCATTTATTTATTTCCCTAGCTGGAACTTGGGGAATATTGTCACATTTTGTAGTTGTCCTTTATATATTTTAATTTATTACCGTGTTTGATGGGCATATAACACTAGTTTAAAATTAATTGAATACAATATTTAACTTTTAACGATAAATATATATAATTTTTTTTTTCGATAGTGTCGATAAATAACCATCTTTTAAATATTTTACAACTAAGGCACAATTATTACAATCCAAATGCGTTGAACGTTGTCCTGAATTTTTTTTAATAAACAGAAGAGCATTATTTCCATAGAGGTGGAAGAGACAACAAAAGAAGGCTAACTAAATGAATGAAAATAAGTAAAAAGAACATATATATTTCCTAAAATATGAATTAAAGTACTATGAATTAAAAAAAAATTAGGTGATGAACAAATCAATTGTTGAATTTTAAGCGTGTTTCCCCAACCATGTAAATATTGACCAATATGCGATATAATATCTCCAAGTTATTATTCGTAAAGCAATTGTACAATATCGAAGCCGTGATGTCAAATTGGCTAACGGGAAAGTATAGGACCTTATCCTTCATGAACAACATGGCTTAGTTTCGAAAGGCGGAGATAGTACAATATCGTCACCTTTCCCCAAAACACGACATTTTACATTGTTTGGGCAAAGGGGTTGGGGTGGAGATCGTAGAAGGGGTTTGGGACGGGGGATAGGGTAGGGTTGGGGTTGGGGTTGGGGTTGTGGAAGAGGTTTGAGCAGTGGGTGGGTTGGATTGGGTGTGGGGCATTGGAAAAGATGCCTTTGCGAGTTTTATATTACATTTTATTTTATTTTTCATTTTTATATTATTTTTATTAAAACTAAATGATAAGCGTTAAGTTGACAAACATTTTTGCCTTTCTAAATTATGCTATCTATAGAGTACGCACCTATTTAATGGAACAAAATGGATGGCAAGTGGCGAAAATGATATTTGTGAAAAAATAGATTGAAACGAGGGTACAATTGTCAAAATTGAAATGATAAGGACGATTATCGCAAGGGTGACAAAATATAGTGACATTTTGTGCTAAATTACCTCTTTTTAAAATAGTTTTCTATTATTTTTAAATTTACTTATAATATTACCCACAAATAAGTTGTTTTTAATTGTTATTTTGTTCTCAACAATTCTTTCTTTTGTTACTATTCAATTTTGTATCATTATTTCATTTGCTGTGAATTTTATCAAAATAATATTTTAATTTGACCAATTGAAAGTGTATTTTTAATTTTTAATTATTTTTGTAATCGATGTTCAATTATGATAGGATTAAGATTTTATTATTGGTTATAAAAACTTTTATTATTTATTTAGTGATGAAAATTCGATCGGTCAATAAATTAGAAAATTATATTTTCATCTTTTTTATATTGGTGCATTTTCCCATTTCATTACCCATACGTGAGTATAACCTTAGTTTTATTGTCGTACTATATTTCGTAAGTACAACATCGTGGTCTTGGATTCTTATTTATACCATTATGCATCAACCACAAATCCGGACCCTCAAAGAGATATGTTGAAGTTGCTTTTATGGAGCATAATAAAATTTCTATTCTTACACAGAATCACAAAGACTCGGTATTTTAAAAAATTCCTAAAAATCTTTCAACTAGAGGTTGAAGATGATGGAGAAGATGAAGAGAAGACTTTTAATAAGCAAGAGAAAAAAAATCAGACACTTTGAATGAATTAGGCAACATTGGTGGGTGACCATCGATGATCCCAGATTAAGATCAACGATCTAGAACTACTAATAACTTACGAAATCTAAGAGGAAACTGAAGTTTCACTTCAGAAACACGATTTTACTTCATTAATATGGATCCTAGTTTGCGGCTTCATCACTTTGATTTTGTCAAGAAATAGATATAATAAGCGGAAAAAGGCCCTTTTGATCATCGCTTAGTTAAGGATGAATTAGTATCACAATCCAATAAATCTCTACCTTGATGCCAATGGCATTACAAATGTACTTTAGACTAATATTAATCTAATTATTAAATGAATTTATCAGCATTAATTTCCATATTAGGTACCTACAAGAAGAAATGAGAAAGTATTAATGTCTTATCATTTTAAACAAGACTTAAATTAGAAAGTATTAATGTGCTCAATTGGGATTTTTTCACAAGATACAGATTCTTTTGTGATTATATCTCTAGTAAAATGTAATTTCACATTAATGTGCTTAGTTCGTTCATAAAAAAGTAGGATTTTTACATAAATGAATAGTACCTTGACGTCAGAATAAACTACAACTGAATTAGAGAGTTCAGTAATCTTAGATAACAAACACTTTAACCATAAGGCTTCTTTTATAGCCTCAATTCCAGCTACATGCTCAATTTCTTTAGTAGATAAAACTACAACAGACTGCATTTGAGATAAATTCATCAATAGGATACTAGACTTAATTTGAAATAGCTAGCAAGTAGCAATGCTACAGATTTAGAATCATGTATACCAAATTGATAACACTTTTTTTGCATAAGAAGTTTGTTTCAAAATTAAAACCTGTTTTGACATATTTATCAAAATATCCATACCAAAAATTCTTCTAGGATGTTATAAATCTTTCATTTTAACATCCATTACTCATAAATCTTCTCGTCTTGTTTTTATCACTCATGCCATTACCAATTAGTATCATATCATCCACATATAACAAAAGATAAACAATCTCATCATTTTCATCATTCTTTTTAAGCTTGTGTTTGACACCTATTTTAGGGAAAAAAAAATGAATTCTGGAATAGTGATTGATGGAGGAATGTGTGGTTGAAAAGTAATGAAAAATTTTAGATTTCTGTGTAATATTATTTTATTTGGAGAATGTGTGGTTGAAATGAAAAAAAGAGAAAAAAAAATGAGAATAAGAATAGATTTCTTTGTAATATTATTTTATTTGGAGAATGTGTGGTTGAAATTAAAAAAAGATAAATAAAAATGAGAATAAGAATGGGTGTCAAACAGGGCTTAAATATAAGCGATTATCAAATTCAATAGTAATGAAACCAATTGATGCAATAAAAGTATCAAACATTTTGTATCACTGTTTAAGTGATTGTTTAAGCCCATATAAAAATCTTTTTAACAAGAAAACAAGATTAGATGCCCTTTTATCTATAAAACCTTGTGGTTCACTTATATAGATAGTTATTTCTAAGTCTCCACGCAAGTAAGCAATGTTAACATTCATTTGTTCAAGTTCAAATTATAATGAGCAACGAATACAAGCATCATTCTAATTGTTGTATATTTTACAACATGTAAGAAAATTTCA